CTTGGTTTTAGTCCTAGGTCCATGATCCACCTTGAGTTGGTTTTTGTGTATGGAGTGAGGTGTGGGTCTTGCTTGAGTCTTTTGCAGATATTTTTCCAATGCAAACCCACTTTCAGAGACCTCCCTAAAACAGTGAAGTGCAATGATGTTAGTTTGAAGACTAAGATGCATGTGATTCAGGCCATGATATTTCAATCACTTGCTATACATTTGAGAGCTAGAAAATGAATAAGGATAACAGGAGAAACACTGATGCCTTTGTTTTGGTTGTTGGAGAAGAGTACTCAATATCCCATGGATTACCAAAATAAAAGAAAGGTATATCATGAAAAGGTGGAGCCAGAATGCTCCCCTAGGGCTAGGATGACAAAACTTCATCTCTCATACACTGGACATGTTGCTAGAAGATGCTGTTCTTTAGAAAGGGATATCACACTCAGAAAAGTTGAGCCTCAGCAAAGAGAGAAGACTCAATAAGATAGATTGGCACAGTGACTGAAATAATGGATCAAAGGTATCAGAGATAGTTAGAACGGCACAGGATAGGTTAGGATTGAGATCATAGTGAACTCGAGTTCATCTAACAACAATAGCTGAAAAAGATATCTTATGACACTAAATTAAAACTTCATATTTTGTATTTACTTTTGTCTCTTTTAGGACTTTGTATTCTTTAACTGTTACCTAAGTTAATGCTATGTTCAATATGTTTAAATGTTCTATAATTTAGAACTCAGAGGTGCTGAGTAAAAGGTCAACAATTATAACCATAGCAATATTTTCATTATCAAAGGCTAGAATTAGGTAAAAATAACCAAACCAAATCCATTTCTATAAAATTGATCCTGCATAATAGCAACTCAATCAGACAGAGTAAAAAAGGGTTTCCAAGGCAGTAAAGTCTTACAGAAGTAAATAGCCAGAGAGATGATTAAACTGTTTCTATATGCAGATAATATATAGTATACATAGAAAACCCCAAAGACTCAACAACAACAAATGTTAGAGTTAGTAGGACTATTTAGTAGAGTGAAAGGATATAAGATTACTATCCAAAAATCAGTAGGATATCTCTACAAAGAGAACTTAGAGAAGGAAATCAAGAAAGCAATACATTTTACAATAATAGCCAACCACAAATTGAGATGCTTGGGAGTGAACCTAACTAAAGATACAAAAGACCTGTACAAAGAAAACTATAGAGCATTTCTACAAGAAACAATAAAAGACTTAAAGAAATGGAAAAATGTGACCTGTTCACAGATAGGAAGACTAAATATTGTGAAAATGACAATAATGCCAAAAATAATTTACATTTTCAGCACAATCTCAATCCAGATACCAAATTCATTTTTCAAGGCAATTGGAAGGGAAAGTGTCAAATTTATTTGGAGAGGCAAGAGACCTCAAATAAGCAAAACACTTCTGAGAAACAAAACTGAGGTGGGAAGCATAGCACTTCCTGACCTGAAAACCTACTACAAACTTGTTGTTATTGTTGTAGTTATGTGCCATCAAGTCACCTGTGACTCATAGCGACCCTATGTACAACAGACCTAAATTCTGCCCTATCCTCTGTCAATTTCACTATCTCTGACACACCTATGCTCATTACCCCAGTCACGGTATCAATCCATCTCATTGAGATTCTTCTTCTCCTGCACTGGCCCTACACCCTACCAAACATGACATCCCTCTCCAAAGACTGTTCCCTCCTTGCAACATGTCCAAAGTATGTCAGATGAAGTTTCAGAATCCTTGCCTCCAAGGAGCAGCCTGACTTCACCCTCTCCAGGACAAACCTGTTTGTTTTCTTAGCAGTCCATGGTATTTTCAATACTCTTCTCCAACACCACAGATCAAAGGCATCAATTCTCATTGTATCATCTCTAGTCATTGCCCAGCTCTCTGATGCACAGCAAGTGATTGCAAAGACCATGGCATGTATCAGGCTCACCTTAGTCTCCAGACTGACATTGTTGCATTTCAACACTTTAGAGAGGTCTCTAACCATAGACTTTCCCAT